AAAATAGCATATAATGATAATACCAGCTACTGACAAGAATGCACAACTGAAACTCTCATACACTACTGGGAGGAATGAAAAATGGTACAGCTACTTAGTAAAATAGTTTGGCAGTAAAGTTGCACATACAATTACAATCTAACTCAGCAATCCCACTCCTGGGTATCTGCTCCAGAGAAATAAAAATTTATATTCACACAAAAACCTATACATAAATGTTCATAGTCACTTTGTATGTAACAGCGAAAAACTGGAAACAACTTGATTGCTTTTTATCAACAGGTGAACAAACAAACTTGGTACACCCATATAACAGAATACTACTCAGCAACAAAAAAAAGGAGAAGGCTATATTAGACAACTTAGATAAATGACAAAGGCATTATATGCTGAATGAAAGAAGCTAGTCTCAAAAAGCTACATACTGTATGATACCATTTATATGACATTCTTAAAAGTACAAAATATAGTGATAAAGAAAAGGTCAGTGGCTTACTAAGTGTTAAGGGTTGGAGACAGGATGTAACTACAAAAAGACACCAAAGACAGCACGCTGGAATTTTCTGGGTTATGCCACTGTTTTCTATCAAGATTTTAGTAGTAATTATTACACTAATCTATGCACGTGTTAAAGTTCACAGAATGTACTACAAATTAGTCAATTTTACTACATGTTAATTTAAAAAGTTTTTCCCCAAAGCACTCTACAGATTCAACACAAAATTATACTTCCAACAAAAGACTAATATCCAGAATTCAGCATCATTCTTCACAGAACTGGAAAAAGCAAACCTAAAGTTCATATTGGAACCAAAAAAAGAGCTCGTATAACCAAAGCAATCCCAAACAAAGAGAACAAAGTCAGAGACATCACACTGTCTGACTTCAAATTATATTACAAGGCTATATAGTAACTAAAGCAACACGGTACTGGTACAAAAATAAACACATAGATTAATTAAACAGAACAGAGAATTCAGAAATAAATCCACATGCCTACAATCAACCTATCTTTGATAATGTCAAGAAAAACAAACAATGAAGAAAACACACCTTATTCAATAAACGCTGCTGGGAAAATTAGCTAGCCATATGCAGAAGACTAAAACTGGAACCCTATCTCTCATCATATACACAAATTAACTCAAGATGGATTAAAGACCTAAATTAAGACCTGAAACTATAAAAGTCCTAGAATAAAACCTAGTAAAATCTCTTCTGGACATCTAGGCAAAGATTTTATGAAGCTACCCAAAAGAAAAAACTCATTATAAAAAATCATTATATAAAAAAATCATATCGCAGCACTATTCACAATAGCAAAGTTGTGGAATCAGCCAAAGTGTCCATCAACCAGTGACTGAATAAAGAAAATGATGCATATAATACACCATGGAATACTACATAGCCATAAAAAAAGAATGAAATAATCTCCTTTGCAGCAACATGAATAGAGCTGTAGGCCATTATCTAAGTGAAATAACTCAAAAACAAAAAAATAAATAAATACTACATATTCTCACTGATAAGTGAGAGCTAAACAATGGTGCTCATGGACATAGAGATGGTAATAATAGACACAGGAAACTCTAAAAGCGGGGAGGGAGGAGAGGGAGATAAGGATTTTAAAAATCACTTGTTGGGTACAATGTTTACTATCTAGGTAATGGGTACATCAGAAGTCCAAATCTCACCATTACACAATATATCCATGTAGCAAACCTGCATATGTACCCCCTGGATGCAAAATTTAAAAACAAGCCAGGCTCCGTGGCTCAGTCTATAATCCCTTGCCTTGGGAGGCTGAGGTGAGTGGACTGCCTGAGTCTGCGGGTTTGAGACCCGCCTGGACAACTTGGTGAGACCTCATCTCTACAATAAATCAAAAAACTAGCCGGGTGTGGTAGCGCACGCCTGTAGTTCCAGCTACTCAGAAGGCAGAGGCAGAAGGATCGCCGGAGCCCAGCAGGTCGAGGCTGCGGTGGCCAGGAGCGTGCAACTACACTCTGGTCTGGGCGACAGAGTGAGACTCCAACTCAAAAAATAAATAAATAAATAAAATTAAAATTTAAAAAGAAAGTAAAATTGTCCATGTAAGCCCTGCTCTCACTAGTCTGAGTACTAAGTGCCCTTTTAAAACAAAAGTTTTTAAAATACTTAATCAACCTTACAGAAGAGTAGAAATTCAGCATAACAAAAATATTTACTCATAGAGCTCTTTACTGTCATTTGGAAGGAAATAGGTGGAATAAACACTGCTATTAAAACATTTATATGTCATCTTGTGAAAGTCCTCAGAAACATAAAAATATTTGATACATTTACTTTCACCCTTCTGATACAAAGAATAGATCGTTGAAGCAATGAAGAAAATAATGCCAGTTTAATTATCTCAATTAGTGCAATGGCTCTATGAAACCATACAACTTTAAATACACATGCCAGCAGAGAGCTAAAACCTGTGAATAATTCCTTTTTGGGGGCAGAAAGAAGATTCTCATTTTTTCATCTGGGTAGGTTTAAACACTTTTCAGTAACAGCTTTATTGACGTATAACTGACATAGAGTAAACTATACACCTTTATAGTATATTATCTCATGAGTCCTGATATTTGTATACACCTGCAAAACCATCACCACAATCAAGCTAATGAACATGGTGATCATGCCAAAAAGTTTCCTCTCGCCCCTTGGTAATTCATTTCTTCCCCTTCTTCTTTACCCTCAAACTCCAAGGCATTAAATGATCTTTCTGTCTCTGTAGATAAGTTCGCATTTTCTGGAAGTTTATGCAAATAAATAAAATTTTTTACATAAATAAATAAAACCATAAAGCGTGCACTCTTTCTTTCCTCTTGCTTCTTTCTCTTGGAAGAACTATTTTAAGATTCATCCATCTTATCAGGTATATTAACAGTTCAACCATTTTTACCGCTGGGTCGTACGCTGTTGGATCAATGGATAGCTGACTATCCATTCATCCGTTTGTACTTTGGGCTGTCTCCAGTTTCGATCTATTATATATAAAATATCACTGAATACTTATATAAAAGTCTTTATGTGGACATATGTTTTTATTTCTCTTTTCTAAATACCTTGGAGTGAAATGGCTGGGTCACAGGGGAGATTATTTCCACCTTTTAACAAACTACCCAAAGTTTAATGGGCTGCCCTCTTAGTATTGAGTTTTAGGAGTTCTTAATAATTCAGACACAAGTTTTTGTCATATATGTGGTTTGCCTTTCATTCGTGTAATGTCTTTTGAAAAACAAAGTTTTGAATGTTAATGAAGTTCAAATGATTTTTTTCCTTCATAGCTGATACTTTTTATGTTCTATTTAAGAAACGTTTGCAAAACTCAAAGTCAGTAGATTTTCACCTTGTTTTTTTCTAGAGGTTTTAAATAGGTTTTACAACTAGGTCTAATATATATGCTAAGTTAATTTAATTCTTTTCAATGGACATCTGTTGTTCCTGTACTACTTCTATGTAAGATTTCTCCTTTCACTCAGATAACTGTCTTGGCAACATGTAAAAAATCAACTGATCGGATATGTGTAGGTTTTGTCTCCATTCTGTTCCATTCATCTGTGTGTCTAACTTCACAGCAACATCATACAGTCTTGATCTACTGTAATGAAATCAGGTAGCTTAAATCCTCCAATTCTGTTATTTCTCAGAATTGTTTAGGCTATCCCAGATCCTCTGCATTTTTATATAAAGAGTAAAATCTAATTGTCAATTTCTACAAAAGCAAACAAAATCTACCAGAATTTTAGTTCAAATTGTATTGAATCTATAGATCAATCTGAGAAGAACTGACATCCTTATTACACTGTCTTCTAGTCCATGAGTATGGTGTATCTTTCACTTATTTACATCTTTAATTTTTCTCAACAATGCTTTGCAGTTTTTATTGTACAGTTTTTGCACATCTTCTGTTAAAGTTGTCCCTAAAAAATCCATAGTTTTAAGATTTTTTTAAAAAACTTAAAGTTTTTAAGCTTTTTTAAAAATTTCAATTTTCTATTGTTTGTGACTTGCATATAAAAACACAATTATATTAAAATTCAAACTGCTATCTTTCTAAACTCACTTGTTAGTTTAAGTAACTTTTATGCACATTCTTAAAGATTTTCTACATAATTAACACATTATCTGCAAATAAAGACAACTTTATTTCTTCATTTTCAAACTATATGATTTTTACTTCTTTTTGTGGTCTTATGACACCGGGTAGAACAAGGATAAGCAAACTAGGACCTCTGCACCAAACTGATCCCACTACTTGTTTTTCTACAGCCCACATGCCAAGAATGGTTTTCACATTTTTAAATGTTTAATAGAAAATCAAAGGAATACTATTTCGTGGCACATGTAATTCAAATATCAACGATCATAAATAAAACATTACTGGAAGAGAGCCATGTTCGTTTATGTACCATCTATGGTTGCTTTCGTGCTACAGCAGCAGAACTGAATACTTGCAAGACCATATGGCCTATAAAACCTAAAATATTTATCATCTGGCCCTTGATAGAAAATGTTTGCTGACCCCTGAGCTGGAAACTCTAATACAATGCTGATTAGAAGAAGTATCTCTCTTAATTCTTAAACCATAGATAAGAAATAGTTATTTGGTTTACACTGAAAGCAGGAACGTTTACTCAAGGTTCATTTGACATTCATTTTCCACTTATGTATGCGCTACTTACAGATTAATTCAGGACAAAATCATCTTCACTGTTAATCTTAACTTTAACAAAACTAAGACAACAGCATGATACTTAAAATATCTATCAAGCGAGTTTGTATAAAGTACACAGTTGGTGATAAGAAGTATAGCAATAGTTTTTTTTTTAATAAAAATTAAAACAGCAATGTTTTTCTACTAAAAGTCTATCACTTCTCTCTATCTTTAAGGAGAATCACCATAAAAACATCACTTTATATACTGAAAGATACATATAAATAATCTATTTCAACAAAAAGTAACATACCCATAATAAAAGGCAGCCATATGCATATAAGTCTGAACTTGGAGAAGCAGGTTTTCCCATTCTCAATTCAGGTGATATCAAACTCAAGTCACCAACCATCATATTCACTGAGGCTCGCTGATTCTACAAAAAACAAAATTTTAAGTATTTTAGAGGCAACACAGTTGAGGTAACATTCTGTGAAGTACTCTGCATTTAATCACTACAAAAAACAAATTCATTGTAAATATTTCGTTCTCTTGCTTGCAAATATTTTTATCTAATTTCTTCTATTATAAATTGCTCTTAAAATCAGTCTCATAAAATTGAGACTTGTTACATTCAGATTGTAGACTCAGATATAAAACTGCTGATTCTTTGATTAAACATTTGATACTCTTTTAAAATAAGTTTCACAAATGTAAGCGGCAATGCTAATTATTTTCTAATTCTAAACATTTTAAATAAATTTTTAAAGCTGAAATTCTACAAAGTACTTTCCTTCCTTCCTGACCATTACCTAAATATACAATTTCTAATGTGTCAAAGGATGATCAGTGACAACAGCACAACCTTGGTTACAATCCCCACTTTCCCATGTATTTGCTGTGTGACCTTGGGCTTTAACCTCTTTGAGTCTAAATTAATTAATTTGTAAAATGGAAATAATATCTACTTTATGGAGTTATTGTAACAATAAAGCCACAATGCCCAGTTCTTGTTTCTCAAAGTATGATCCAAAGGCCAGAAGCTACAGCATCACCAGCAGCTTGTTAGGAATGCAGACTGTTCACCCTAGAAATGATGAATAATAATGTGCATTTCAACATGATCTCCAGGTGATTCATATGCACTGTAAGGTCTGAAAAGCTAAGATCTTGACTGCAGACTACTTTACAAATTTCTCTTCCTGATTAACACTTCAATCTAAAAAGTAGTGTAAAAAATGTAGCAAATGGCATTTAATCAATATTTCAGAATAAATAATTTTAGCTGAAGATTAAAACAATATTTTGGGGAAAAATAACAGTTGACAATGAGTATAAAAGAGGAAGAGAAATTCTGGAGTAGTCATATCTACAGTTCTGCAAATGGTATGCTCAGAAGGTAAACTGATCAGAATCTCTAAAAGTTGACAATCTTTTAAAACTCATATTAGTTATTTTTCTTAGGCTATTATCTTAATTTCCAGATAAACTAATGTAATAAAATAAATATTTAAGCAAAATAATCTGTATATATCCTGAATAATCCAGCTTTTTATTATGGTTTCACATTTTCATTTTCTCTTATTTTTGATCTACCATATAAAAACCACTGAGACTACATATACATTATTACCCTATGACTTGCAGATGACCAAAGCATAAAGCATTATTACATATACTAGTCAAAGGGAATTGCTCAAATAATAACAGATACTGGCAAGAATGTAGAGAACCTTATACATTGCTGATGAGAATGTAAAATGATGCAGCTACTTTGGAAAATAGTTTGGCTCCTCAAAAGGTAAAATATAGAGTTACCATATAACCCAGTAATTCCACTCCCAAGAGAAATGAAAACATTTTCACACAAAAAAAGCTCAACTGCTAATGTTCATAGCAGCATTACTCATAATAACCAAAAGTGCAAACAACCCAAACGTCTATCAACAGATGAATATATAAACAAAATGTGGTATACTCATACAATAAAATATTATTTGGCCATAAAAAAGAATGGTGTTTGGATGCATGCTACAACATGGCTGAACTTTGAAAACATTATGCTAAGTAAAATAAGCCAGTCACAAAAGGTCACATGTTGTACAATTTCATTTGCGTGAGATGTCCAGAATAGGCAAATTCAAAGAGACAGAAAGTGTGTTAGTGGTTCCAGGGTCTAAGAAGAGGGGGAAATAAGAGTGACTGCTAATTAGTATGCAGTTTCTTTTTAGAAATGATAAAAATATTCAGTCCTATTCAACACAGTACTGGAAGTCCTAGCAAGAGTAATCAGGCAGTAGAAAGAAAGAAAGGGTACCCAAATTGGAAAAGAAGAAATAAAACTATTTCTGTATACAGATGATATGATCTTATACATAGAGAATCCTAAAGACTCCAAAAGATTCCTGGACTTGATAAATGAATTCACTAAAGGCTCAGGATAAAAATACACACACACATACAAATCAGTAGCACTGCTCTACACCAATAGTGACAAAGCTGAGAATCAAATCAAAAACTCACTCCCATTTATAACAGCAGCCAAAAAGCTAAAATACTTAAGAATATATTTAAGCAAGGAGACAAAACATCTCAACAAGGAGAATTACAAAAACTGATGAAATAAACTGTAGAGGACACAAATGGAGAAATATCCCATGCCCACAGATTAGAAGAATCAACATTGTTAAAATGGCCAAATTATCCAAGTCATCTACAGATTCAACGCCTTCTTTATCACACTACCAACGTCATTTTTCATAGAATTAGAAAAAACCCTAAACTTTATATGGAACCAAAGAAGAGCAACAATAGCCAAACCAATCATAAACAAAAAGAACAAAGCTGGAGGTACCACATTACCTGAATTCAAATTATACTACAAGGCTATAGTAACCAAAACAGCATGGTACTGGCACAAGAGCAGAAACATGGACCAATGGAACAAAATAAAGAATCCAGAAGTAAACCCAAATCCCTACAACCAACTGATCTTCGACAAAGCAGACAAAAACATACACTAGGAAAAGAATACCCTATTCAACAAATGGTGCTGGGGAAATTGGACAGCTATATGCAGAAAAAATGAAACCTGATCCCTATATACAAAAATCGACTCAAGATGGATTAAAGAATTAAATGTCAGACCTGAAACCATAAAAATCCAAGAAGAAAACCTGGGAAAAACTCTTCTGGACACTGGCCTAGGCAAAAAATGTATGGCTGAAACCCCAAAAGCAAATGCAACAAAAACAAAGATAAACAAGTGGGACTTAATTAAACTAAAATACTTCTGCACAGCCAAAAATAAATAAATCAACACAGTAAATAGGCAAGCTACAGAATAGAAGATATCCAGAATCTACAAAGAACTCAAGCAAATCAGCAAAACAGCAAACGATCCTATTAAAGAGTGAGCAAATAACATGAACAGACACCTCTCAGAAGAAGATATATAAATGGCCAACAAACATACGAAAAAATGCTCAACATCACTAATAATCATGGAAATGTAAAGTAAACGCACAATAAGATACCACCTTATACCAGTCTGAATGGTCATTATTTTAAAAAATCAAAAAACAATAGATGTAGGTATGGATGCAGTGAAAAGGAAACACTTACACACTGCTGGTGGGAGTGTAAATCAGCACAACATCTATGGAAATCAGTATGAAGATTTCTCAAAGAACCAAAAGTAGATCTACTTTATCAAGCAATCCCACTATTTTTAGGCATCTACCCAAAAGAACAGAGGTTGTTACACAAAAAAGACACTTGCAGTCCTAAGTTTATTGTAGCACAATTTACAGTTGCAAAGATGCAGAATCAACTAAATGCCCACCAACTGATCAGTGGATAACAAAAATATGGTATATTACATACTGGAGGTGCCAAAAATGTATCCACATTTTGAGAGATATTATCTACGTATTACTTTTAGTTCACCATAGTCAGAAGCGACTGGATGCTAATAAACCACCTTGAACACCTCTTAAAATTGCAGAAGTCAAATATGACTTGCATTCATCTTTTATTATTGGTATATATTGAGCATTACAATTTTAATAGTTTTTCCTTTCTTAAAATATGTGTACATTTTTTGGCACCCTCTGTACATATGCATATAAAATGTGTATGTTATATAGGTATATATGTATATGTATATACGAAGAGGACCAAAAAACTGGAATTATTTTTTGGAGACTGGGCCCCTTGTAGTACAGGCTTCCCATGCTAGGTTAAATGTTCTAGGAACCCATCAGCAGCAGTGTACCAGCTAGCATTGTTGCAAAAGCCTGTGTTTAGCTTCAAAGAATTTTTATTTGGAGATTCTTTCAATGTGTTTGCCCATTTCATGATAAATGATTTACAAATGCACCTGCCCACACTGCACTGTGTTCAGCAATTTTTGATAAAAAACAGCATAACCCCTATGCTTCACTTTCCCTATTTAACTGATCTTGCTCCAATGGCTTTTTTTGTTTGCTTGTTTCCCCAGATGAAAAAAGTCCTCAAAGAAGAACATTTTGCTGACATGGAAGAGGTGAAACAAAAACAGCAGAAGCACTAAAAGGAATCAAAACTGACGAGTTCGGAAACTGTTTTCAACAGTGGAAAAAACACCTTGGTAGGTATATTGCATCAAATGGAGAGTATTCTGAAGGTAACTGAAGTTTAAATATGTAAGAATAAACACAGTGTTTTATAGATAAATTTCAGGTTTTTGGGGGTCCCCCGTTGTGTACACACACACACACACACACACACACACACACACACACACACACAGACACCATGGAATACTACTCAGTCATAAAAATGAAGGAAATAATGTCTTCTACAGCAACTTGAATGCAATTGGAAAGTATCATCTTAAGTGAACTAACACAGGAATGGGAAACCAAATACTGCATATTCTTACTTCTAAGTAGGAGCTAAACTAGGGATCTAAAAAGGCATATAGAATGATATAATGTGACTCGGAAGGGGAAGGGTAGGAAGAAGAGGATGAAAAATCACCTATTGGATACAATGTGCACATTGTGGATACACATGAAGCCCAGAGTGACTTTGTTTTCTCAGATGAAAAAGTTCTCAAATAAAAATGTTTGCCTATGTAGAAGAGGTGAAATAAATAAATAAAAAGCTCTGAAATCAGATAGCAGTGATCAATGCACAATTCTGTTAACATACTAAAAACTGTTACTAAACTGTATACTTTATGATTTGTGATTATATCTTAATAAAGCTGTTATTTTTAAAAAAGGAATTGCTGATTTTACTATTCCACATTATATTCATATTTCAAAACATCATGCTGTACATGATAAACACAATTTTTATTTGTCAATTTAAATAAATAAATAGATAATTGCTCACATGTTCTTTAATTGTCTGATCTTTGTTATCTCTACAAACTGCCTATTTTATGTAGCACCAAATTAATAGTCACTATAGTAGAATCAGGACTTAAACTAATGAAAGGTCTCAGAGGCTCCGGTGGTGGGAGGAGTGGTAGCGGCCAAGCAGCCCAGTTTCCTAAAGGCTCTCCAGGCACCGTTGCCTGCAGGCACCTGGCACACGCCCTGCCCACCGCCAAAATGCCCAAGAGTAAGGTCAACTCCACCGAGGGGGCAGTGAAGGAGGAGTCCAAGAGGAGATTCACAAGGCTGTCAGCTAAACCTGCTCCTTGCAAAAGTGGAAGCGAAGCCAAAAAAGGCAGCGGGAAAGGATAAATCTTCAGACAAAAAGTGCAAGCAAAAGGGAAAAGGGGAGCAAAGGGAAAGCAGGCTAAAGTGGCTAACCAAAAAACTAAAGAGTTACCTCCAGAAAACGGAGAAACTGAAACTGAGGAGAATTCAGCCTCTGATGAAGCAGGAAAGAAAGAAGCCAAGTCTGAATAATATCATATCCCATGTCTTATCAGTAGTCCCTATCTCCCTTCTTGTATAATCCAGAGGAATATTTTTATCAACTATTTTGTAAATGCAAGTTTTTTAATAGCTCTAGAAACATTTTTAGGAAGGTGAGAATCCCACCTCATCCCATTTTTTAAGTGTAAATGCTTTTTTTCAGAGGTGAAATCATTAGCTGGTTGTTTATTTTTTGGTACAACCAGAAAATAGTGTGGGATATTGAATTATGGGAGGCTTTGACTGTCTTGGGTATCAGCTTAACATTCCATAGATGGGGATGGAGGGTTAGTTTTTATATCCTATAATGCAAAGTATACTAAGTGGCAATGTGGAATCATAGTCCTGCATTTAATGTCTTGAACACTTAAAATCACTTCTATTCCCATGTTGATTTTTAGTATAATTGTTCCCTAAAGAAAACGACTCCTTGAACCAACTGTGCTGCCCATCAAAAGAGGACTAGATTATTAAAATGTGGTACATATACACAATGGAATATTAAGCAGTCATAAAGAAGAACAAAATCATGAACTTTGCAGCAACCTGGATGGAATTAGAGTTTATAATCCTGAATGATATCTCACAGAAACAAAGAGCTGAGTATCACATCTTCTCATTCATAAGTGGACCTTGAACAACTATAGCAATACTATAAGAAAAGGATTGACAGCGGGAAACTGTGAGGGGGAGAGGCACGGGGAGGTGGGATTGACAGTAATTGATATCCGCCTGGGGAATGGGAGGCACAGTTCATCAACAAGGGTACCTGCACAATAAATATTTGTATACCTAACCCTGAATTGTACCCCACAATTTTAAAATAAAAATTAAGAGAGGAAAAATAAAACCACTCCTTGATCAGGGCTCTCCCTGTAAAAACCGTGTGCACTCTGTAACAAAGTTAAACTCTGTAATAACTTTGTTAACCTACTGTGAAAGACTGAAAAATTGAGTATGTTGTGTATATGATAAGTTGTGAATTGGTGGGATGTATGTAACAGCTTATCACATTTGAAGACACTGGTACTTGTTATCTTCTTAAGGAAAATTTGCCTCCAAATTTTAAGCTGGAAAGACACTGGAATAACTTTTTAAAAATAATCATACATGGCTTTTTAAGTTTTTGGTATGTATGTTAAGAACTGTATACACATGAAATGTCTGTGTACTGATCTTCAACACAACCAATAAATTCAATTATGAAAGACTTTCACAGCAAAAAAAAAAAACTAATGAAAAAGTCCAAGGTTCCCAAGTTTCTAAAAATGCAAAGTTCCCTTTTCTCTGTACCTTCGCCAGCCTCTGTTGTTTTTTTTTAATTAAGGATAGCCATCCTTACTGGAGTTACATGGTTTTGATTTGCATTTCTCTGATATTAGTGAGGCTGAGCATTTTTTTCATGTATCTGTTAGCTGTTCGTATGTCTTCTTTTGAGGAGTATCTATTCATGTCTTTTGCCCACTTTTTAATAGGGTTGTTTGTTTTTTCCCTTTCTGCTCATTCGAGTTCCTTATAGATCCTGGATGTTAGGCCTTTGTAAGATATGCAGTCAGCAAATATTTTTTCCCATTCTGTAGGATATCTCCCCACTCTCCTGATGGTTTCTTTTGCTGTGCAAAAGCTTATTGGTTTGCGTTTCTTCACTGTTGGTAGGAGTGCAAACTAGTTTGACCTCTATGGAAAACAGTGTGGCGATGCTTAAAAGAACTAGAAATTGACCTTCCATATGACCCAGCAATCCCCTTCCTGGGAACATGCCCAGAGGAACTCAAACCATTCTACAAAAAAGATACTTGTACACACATTTGTTGCAGCACTATTCACAATAGCAAAAACATGGAACCAATCCTGCTGCCCATGGAAAGTGGACTGGATAAAGAAAATGTGATACATCTACACAATGGAGTATTATGCAGCCATAAGGGATGACAAAATGATGAGCTTTGCAGCAAATTGAATAAATTTAGAGTCCATCACACTCAATGATCTTTCACAGAAACAAGGAACTGAACACCACAGGTTCTCACTCATAAGTGGGTCCTGAACATTTATCACAATACTACAAGACAGGGACCAGCAGTAGCAAGGCACTGCCAAGGGAGGGACGAGGGGGCACACAACATCACTAAGGGTACCTGACCCTAAACCAAGGGAAGTGAGGACCAGTTGGAGGCCTAAGTGGTCACCTGCACATAGACCACTTATGTAACTAATCCTGACTTGTACCCCACATCTATATCCAGTTTAAAAAATTGCAAGCATTGTATTCAAATTTAATCTGTGGGGGGATACCAGCAAAGGGAGGTTGGCAGATGGCCATCTAGTTTTCCTTGCACATTTCCTAGCAATTAAATGCTTCCTGATTATGATAAAAATAATTTATGATTAATGTTGTTGATGCCACTGAGTGTAATGTCAGCTGCTCCTAAGACTTAAGGTTAAAACAGACAATGAACAAACCTGGAAACTCTTGTTGCAGCATCTAGCTGATAGTAGATAATGGCTTACACTATACAACACACCTTAACTAAAGGCACAGATCCTATAATAAATTACCATGTTGTTAGATTCATAAGTCCTGAATCTAACAATAGTAAATAAAGTTTAGAATCCATTGTAAAACTATGATATTTTACCACAGATTTGGTGAAGTCAAAATCTCCAACAATTCCTTGTTCACGGTTTAAAGCAAATACATTGTTCTGATGAAGTGATCCATGAATTATGTCAGCCTTGTGCAATGTATTCAGGCCCTGGGCAACACCTTTCATGACCTTTAAAGTTTCCTAGAGATAAGTACACACAAAAGAAGTCAGGAAGTAGGCAGTCATTTTGATACCTGAAAGTTTTCTAACTGAACCTGTTCCAAAAATGAGTAAAGCTTCCTCCAGATGAACCCTTAATAATAATACAGAAGAGAGAAAGCATTGAGGGCCAGATGAAACCCTGATTATGAAACTAGTGATATCATATATACATTCTACAGTCTCTACGAAGACTCAGATTACAAATAGCAACCATGTAAAGCATCTATAAAAGAAGAGCTTGAAATAGTGTCACTACACAGAAAAAATCAGGGCCTCCTTTATTGTTATTACTAGCCCTAAATTTACAATGATAAACATTAAAGTTGCCATTTATGCACTTGTAATACCAACATACAGTCCAGCTTAACAGTTATAAGCTCGGACTTTGGAACCAGAAAGACCTGATTTCAAACTCCAACTTCAACACTGGCGGAGGGACCCTGTGTAAGTCAATAAATTCCTTTAAGTCTTTTTTCCCATCTGTACAATAAGATAACTCACATTACAGGGTTGATGTAACAATTAAATAGAATAACATAAGTCAAAATTTTACTCAACATACAGATGTAGTATGCCCTAAACAAATATCAGATATTATTTTCTCATTTAATTTTCTCATTTAAACCCACTGAAAAAGTGGGTTTCACTTACTTCGGCAGTCAAAGGCCTACTGGCTTGAACAGCACGCAGGTTTGCCCTGGGATGGTACGGGACCATCAGGTAAGCCATGGGATCAGACTAAGAAGCAAAACAGAATGTGACTCACAGTGAAAAATTCTTTACATTTTTAGCATACACTGATTCTGTAAGGTAATTTTTGTTTTATGTTAAGAGAAATGAATTACTGCTCTAAAACTTGGAGCCAAAACTTATTTTAAATGAAATGTTTTCTCCAAGAGGTGAGCATAAGAACTGTACCTTACACAGAAACAGGAATATCAGTGGTAGCAACCCCGACTCTTCTTTAGCTTCTCTCCAAGCACCATGGTAGGCGGCTGCTCGCTGAATCACCTTGGCTTCTGTGTCAACATCCACGGAATAGCCCTTGTGCCAAAATAAGAGGCACTGGTAACTCAAAGACTTAACATCCCACTCTATATATACATCATTCCAACTTAAACATAGTAAGTGATTTCTAAGTTAAATGACATCTAATTTTATTTTTAATTTTATAAGTACTTTCTATCTTGTTTGAATGCTGTAATTTGGAAAGAAATTAACAATACTAATAAAAATTAAATTAAAAAATAACAATTCTACCTATAGCTACTATACATTCTAGAACATGTAGCAACTAAGACCAAATTAATTATCCTATTAATCATCCTATCATGATTAACAGTTTCCCAGATCAATGACAAGAAGAAATTAAGAAGAATTGGAACAGTAGTATTCCTCAAGGAAAAAAATAAAAATAAAAATATAAGGAAATAAAAAAAGGAACTAGATTCGGTGACTCAGCCTGTAATCCCAGCACTTTCAGAGGCCAAGGCAAGTGGATTGCCTAAGCCCACAGGTTCAAGACCAGCCCAGGCAACTTGGCGAAACCTCATCTCTACAATAAATCAAAAATTAGCTGGGCGTGGTAGCACACGTCTGTAGTTCCAGCTACTTGGAAGGCTGAAGCAGAAGGATCGCCAGAGCCCAGCAGGTCGACACTGGGGTGGGGTGGCCATGAGCATGCCACTACACTCCAATCTGGGTGACAGAGTAAGATTCCAATTTAAAAAAAAAAAAAAAAAGAAAACTTTAAAAGGAGAAGACTGTGTTGGCAACAGAACTGAGATTTCAAGGAGAAGTGTAAGAAAATCAAGAATTTTAAAAGGTTATTGGAAAGAATGCAATAAGCTCACTTAAAAAAAGGAAAGCAAGTATATCCTATTAAAGACATTCTATTTAGGGAAACTTCAAAGTAAAAACTAGTTCTGCAGCCAAACTGGAAGAACAATCATCATGCCAAGCAATTTACATACCATAAACAAACAATAGATTTTTTCCTTTCCTGAAAACTAATAGCAGAACTCCCCCTTTATACTGCTGAATCTCTCCTAAGTAAGAACTTAAGCTTACCTTTAAAAGAATTATCTGTCCATTAACCTCAGAACATACCAAAGGACGCTTACTGCTAAGTTCCTTCATGGGTTTAGCATCAAGGAGATCCCGTTCCAAGCTCATAGTAAGAAGACCACCAGAGTTCTAGGCGTTTTAAATATTAAAATAATGACAAATAAAATGTAGTTGTAGAATAGGAATGGAGAGTCCTCAACAGTGAAAAGAGCTTTCAAATATTTTAATTCTATCAGATATCTCTGTTACTTTTCTAAAAGGAACAAGTTTTTATTATAGTTGAAGAATCCAAACAATCCCAGTATTTTATAAATCATCAACATAATTACTTACAGGCTATTAGAAAACTTTGATGACATTAACTCTACTAGAAAAACCAATAAAATAAAAATGTTTAAAGTTTTGTGCTTTTTCCAGTTCCTGGCTCTTAAATTCCTCCTATCCAACATGTAATCACTATACACTTAATTGCTTCTGTAATTTTAGAACAGATTTGAAAGATGACTGGGATTAACCAGACATGCTTCCTAGAAGCCCTCACGGTTTACTTGAAAAACCACGTTTCCTAAAAATATTAAAACAATGACAAATAAAATGTAGTTGTTGAATAGGAATGGTAAGTTTTAAAATTATGATTACTATGAAGTAAATCTAACACCTCCGGCTCTGCTTGAAATAGAATCCTCAACAGTGAAAAGAGTTTTCAAATATTTTAATTCTAACAGATATCTCTGCTACTTTTCTAAAAGGAACAATTTTTCACAGTATAATACAAAAGCCAACATTTTAAATCAAGGTAAGTTATACTGCAGTCCAGTTTCAGTAAGAGGGGTTTTAGGATTGTTTTCTGAGTTTTTAATAAGTTTTGTCAGTGTACTTAAGTATTCCATGATACATAATTAACCTACAAAAAATTCCTAAACATACATCACAGTTGAATATCTGAAAGTCATTAAAGTCTTCCATAAAGCAAACTCTCCATAATCTTCCACAATAAAGTAGACTAGCATATTTTTAAAACTTGATTTTCAAGACCTATGTGGCAGTATATATTCACTTGTTTATACTACATGAGATAGTCTCTAAGCTAAACAGTTGCAAGAAAAAAACTCATTTTAAAGTCTAGTCTGAAAAGACTTTAGAGTAATTGTTTAATTTAGGGAACTTTAATCTTAAATTATTTTTTAGAATAAACTCACATGACGACACAAACACTCCTTCCTGTACGATATTTAAGCTATTATCATGGACTTAATGACAATCTTAATGAATAGATATCTCGTCTAGTCCCTCATACCTAGTAGGCAACATAAAGTACAGAAATAACAGACTCTGCCCTGAGAGCCAGAGTCTATCAACCCTTCTCCATTACAGCCACTAGCTAATATACTGATCTCCCAGCCTTTGACTCCTGCCTCTCTAGAAAACCACACTCACCTTAAAATTTTTACCTTAACCAGTTTCTAGAAGCTTTTCCCAGACTTTTTAAATTTAAAAGACACATTCAGCTTAACCTCCTTATAGCTATCGGTCTCCAATTTTTATCCTAACTCTTGAAACAGCAGCTAAAATCTTATTCTATCATTTCAAAAAATAAACACCTATAATTCAAATAAGTACTATGCAATGTACTCAATGAGGATGAGGAAAAGAGTAAACAGAGGAAAACATGCAAATCAACATAAAAATAAAGATACGCACTATACAACTATTAAAGTCTTGAGAAAAATTTCTAATAATACCCAAAAAATATTTATCAGGAATATTTTTATAAGAAAGATACTTTAAGTCTAACACTGACACAATTTTAACATCATCACTTTCAACACTCTCTGCAGAGTAGTAATTCTCAAGGGAAACAAAGCTTACCATGTATTTAGGTAATCCTATTTCAGGATGAAGCAGAGGCAGCTCAGGAAACCATTTCTGTGCCAAGCTATTCAGCTTCTCCTGAAGTTAAAAAATGTATTTTTAAATTGTAGATCAATATAATCAATTCTGACAAGTTGTTCTTTAGGAAAACATATCAGTATCTGCCTTATCACATATCTACTAAGATGTATAATCACTGCTTTTTGCCTTCTATTTCAAGAAATATCAAGTGAAAATCAAGAGTCACCTCTCATCTAATTACCATCTTACTAACAGAAGAAAAACTTAATTACTAATTTTAAACTTTGTATACATATATAAGCACAAATCTTGCCTAATGTCAAAGTCTACACTTCCTAACTAAAATGAAAAAGTGATAATACACCAATGTGAATCATAAAACTGTCATTATTTCTCAAAATATTAAGAACACAGTGACATTTCGAAATAATGGCTGTTTCATTTAGGAAGAAAAAAGATAGCCTTGAGGGAAAAACTATTAGCTCTACACAAGTCACTTTGAGGTAAATGTGAAAACTGAGAAGACTTACAAAAGGAAAGCCACTTATCACAAGTTTATTAAGCAAAACTTCTAGACACCTGTCAAATTCCTAGAAGACAAGCTATTTTAAACCAAGGTTCATAAGGTATTTATACATAGATGAGTTTGCTTAAAAAAAAAAAAAGCGTAACACTTGGCTGGGTGCAGCAACACATGCCTATAATCCCAACACTTTGGGAGGCCAAGGTGAGAAGATTGCCTGAGCCCATAGGTTCGAGACCAGCCTGGGCAACTTGGCAAGACTTCATCTATACAATAAATCAAAAAATTAGTCAGGCGTGGTGGCACACGCCTGTGGTCCCAGTTACTTGGAAGGCTGAGGCGGAAGGATCACCTGAGCCCAGCAGATGGAGGATGCAGTGGCCATGAGCGTGCCACTGCACTCCAGTGTGGGTGAAAGGGCAAGACTCCAACTCAAAAAAACAAAACAAAGCATAACACCTAAAATACTTAGTATTTTCATAGTATTTTTAAATTTCAAAGCACTGGGGTTTTTTTTGAGTTGAAGTCTCACTCTGTCACCCAGACTGGAGTGCAGTGGCCGCTCCCGGTCACTGCAGCCTTGA